GAGAATTAGACCAGTAGTAAGTAAAGAAGTTGTTATTGCAGAAAAAGAGATTAGATTTGTCAGAAATTTTTGTTTCTGTGATGCTTGCAATGGATATGTTATGATTGAGACAATAATCCTGCCATGCTTCTCTCTTAGTAGGATCATTGAAGCCTTTAACATTATGTATAGCAATAGTTAGGTTGAGATGGTGCAATGCTGAATTTGGTGGAGGTGAAAAAGAATTATGATTAGAGTTAAGTTCTTTTTTAACTAGTTATAATATATCATATTTATGCTAATTATAGAGTCTTTCAAATTTATGAATTGACTAAACATCATTTATTTTTATCTTTTGACAAGTATCTTGGATTTGGGCAATTATTGTGTTTAGCCTATTGTTAAATTCTAAGATTACAGTTTTTAATTTCTTAAACTAATAACATCTTAACTTCTAGGACCCCCAGGTCTTCATTATTACTATTATTTTAATATTGACATTTGTTAAATTTTTTAAAGTTCCAAATGTATACTTTATTGTTTGATTTTGAGAACTTTATCCTTCTTTATTCAGAAGAATTGTTCTTAAAGGTAGTATCTTAATTTTTTCTCTTAATTTTTGTACAAGTTCTCTTAGTATTTATACTTGTGAATCAAGTTTATGCATCTTATTTTTCTTCATTTCAGTACTCTGAACATATTGACTTGATCTCATAATTGTCTTTGTAGGTTGCATTTTTAAGTTTTCAGCATGTTCATTAGAAAAGCCTCTTATTTTTTGCACCAAGTTTACCTTAGTTCCTTTAGTTGAGATTAAAGACCATAACAAATTTCTTCTAGATTATTATTTAAAAGGTTTGTGTCTGACATCATTCTCTTTTTAAGTCATTACTTTTTTTTTTTTTTTTATAAGTTATGTCTAAGTTATATCCAACATGAGAGAGCTGAATAGAAATTGGATAGTTGAAAAGAAAAAGTGAACTAGACAAGTGAAATAAAAAAGCACTATCAATTCCTAATCTACATCTACAATGCAAGTATCTCTAATTTACATTATACAAGTTCCAATCTGGATGATCCTCATAATAATAACCCTAGTATGACTATCATCAATGCATAGGGCCAATACAATGCATACTTCTGGTAAACCCATTTTAGATACCATATAGTTCTGAAATTAAGTACCTCCTGAAAATAAGCACTACTGGCCTACACTATGTGCAATTTGGCCTGCATTATAACAATTTTGTCCTGCACTGCAAGCAAAAAAGAGGTGCTTAATTCGAAATTATATAGTAGGTGATTGATATAGCCATTGTGAACCTGAATGGACCCTGACTGATCAGGGTCTATCGCTAAATTAGAGAAGAAGTTGATCACATCAGTCGCATTAGTCACATCCATTGCATCCATCACATGTAACCTATCAATTGCATGTGATGCATGTGATGCATGTGATGAATGCAACAGATAGCAGTGATCAGTCAGAAGGAAAATATTAGTAGGATACAACTGATCAGTAGCTTCAAAGATATTAGTCATATTCATTGCATAATGTAAATAGAACTCTACAATTATAAATAAAGACCAAGAGGCCCTTCAGAAAGAACAACAATTCCTGCTCTTGCCAAATAAAATAATATATTCACTAATAAATAATCTGTCCCTAACCTGTAAATACTAACTTTCATCAATATACTTATCTAATAACCAACCCAAAATCTCTCTGTTATTAAGTGAATCCAATTAGAATCCCATTAACTACTCACCAAATCTAAAATGCATCTTTTGAATAAAATTAACCCAGAGTGGTTATAAGATATACCTAATTTTGAAGCTACTGACCTAACAATCTTTTCCAGTTCACAATTTGATGATAACTGTGAGATCTGAAATGACAACTACCTTCCAATAAAATAAGTGCAAAGACTAAATTGGGTTAAAGAAAAGAAAAATAGAACCAATTAATATTTAGAAATAAGAATGAGAAAAACAAATGAACTTTAGCATACTTACCTAAGAAAACAAAAAGAATGTACGATGTTTACTTACTACTGATGATAAACCAACCACGAAAATGAGTTAAAGCTTGAACAATGAAGACATAAGCATCGCAAGCCCCATGGAACCCCCAACCGATTAGAATAAGAACCTGATGAGACATATGATGCTCTTATTGTGGTATAAGAGACCACATTATTAGTAAATGCCTATATGTAACCTTCTTGCAGAAAAAGTGTGCTGTTTTTTTCATCACATTTACTGAAGAACAAGCTGTCAAAGTTCAAAAAATCATCAATAAAACCTCTGGAGATTGCTACCGTAATGATGAGCAACTTCTCCAAGCTCTTAGATTTATACTAGAAGTGTTAAAAGTCACACTTGAGAATATCAAGGGGAAAGAAGAACCAGTTCCTCACAATCGTTTCTGCTCTGTATCCTAAAAAGAACATTCCACAAAGACCAAAAAAAATCTTGTCTTTGTAGTCCCTCTACTAAAAGTTCCTTCGAAGTTTAGACAACTAGCACCTGTCATACCCAACACCTAGATGACCCTGACGAATCTGCAGAAGGACTCCTTAACTTAGAACACTGTCTTCAACAACTAGTTGTTGAATGCAAGACTTTTGTACAAAGGTGGGCCCCAAAAGAAGTCCTAGAATCCCTGCCAGAAAGTGACATTAAAGAAAAAAAATTAAGGTATTCGATTATTGCCAGAAACCAGCCAAGATAAATAAAACAATCAAGAAAAAGGAAAAAGAAGGACTTACTGAAAAAGAACCCACCAAAGCTAAAAGAGATATGATGAATATTGGTGAGTGTTATTATAGAATCAGAGTTGAAAAGAATGAACATAAAGCCTTTGGATACTATCAAAAACCTGCAGAAAGGGAAAATGCCAATGATGCATATTATGTTGGATCTGGTTATAAAAAGGGAATCGAAGTTAAAAAGGAAAAACATGAGGCACCCATTTATTATCGAAAACCTAATGAGACAGCTATAAAGACAAAAGTGAAGCAGTTAGAAGACCTTCTAAGATCATGGGAGGAAATTCAAACTTAATGATGATAAAGCTGATAATGTTGATAACAACGATGATGATAATGACAACAATGAAGATGGAACCAAGATCGAAAAGGATGGAATCGAAGTTGAAAAGGCCGAATGCAAGAACCCTGATATGTGATGGTTAGCATTGGAAAACCTGGATAAATTCTGTGAAAATTGGAATAGAAGGGTTAATGAGTTCAAAAGTTTAATCCAAGACAACCTAAAAGAACCTACTAACACCAAAGAAAAAGCACTGAATATTGAAATTGAAGTTGAAAAGAATGATCTTAAAGAACTTGAATGGTATTCAGAAAAGGCTAAAGAAGGTAATTCATATAGACTATTGATCCTAGATGACCGAAAATACCCCATCACCGCCAAAGAAGAGGTGCTGAACATTGGAATTGAAGTTGAAAAGGATGTTCCTAAAGAACTTGAATAGTATTTGGAAAAGGCTAAAGAGGGTAATTTCTATGGACTATTGATCCTAGATGACCGAAAAGACCCCACCAACACCAAAGAAGAGGCACTGAACATTGGAATTGAAGTTGAAAAGGATGATCCTAAAGCACTTGGATGGTATTCGAAAAAGGAAAACCCAGCTGGATTAAATAATGAGCAAATGCTTACCAATATAGAACCTATGGCTGAAGGAACTAACGAGAATGAAAAGTCTGAAACACCTAACCATAATTGCCACAAAATAGTAAATATCGAAGAGGATAAAAATGGAATTGAAGTTGAAAAGGAAAAATGTAAGGCCCTTCGATACTTACCAATGTATGGACCATGCATCTTCGATCCCGGTGGTTTGACCTTGTCTCGTGGAACTCGACCTTGAGTCGGAGAGAAATGTGGAACCTGAATGGACCCTGGCCAGTCGGGATCCATCGCTAATTTAGGGAAGGAGTTGATCGCATCAGTCGCATCAGTCACATCCGTCGCATCCGTCGCATGCGACCTATCAGTCACATGTGATGCATGTGATGAATGCAACAGATAGCAGTGATCAGTCAGAAGGGAAATATCAGTAGGATACGACTGATCAGTAGCTTCAAAGATATCAGTCGTATCCATCGCATAATGTAAATAGAACTCTACAATTATAAATAAAGGCCAAGAGGCCCTTCGGGAAGAACAACAATTCCCGCCCTTGACAAATAAAATAATACATTCGCTAATAAATAATCTGTCCCTAACCTGTAAACACTAACTTCCATCAATACACTTACCTAATAACCAACCCGAAATCTCCCTTTCATTAAGTGAACCCGATTAGAATCCCGTTAACCACTCGCCAAATCTAACACGCCTCTTTCGAACGAAATTAACCCAGAGTGGTTATAAGACGTACCCGATTTTGGAGCCACCGACCTGACGATCTTTTCCAGTTCACACCGTTAATTCGTTACTACGCCACATCGATAACCTGCTTCAACGAGCTTCCGGCGTTACCATCCTACCTCTAACATTAGCTAACTTAGCATCAAATAATTGCATAGATAGTCAACTAACTAGTTTGTCCTACAAGATACACCCCAAATGAAAAATCTAATATGTATAAAAATTCACGTCCAACTGATTACTTTTTTGTAGAATAAAGATATTATTGGTTCATTATGTAGCTAAATTCTAACGCCAATGCATAGAATAGTTATTATTGTATAAATTATTATTAATTGTTCCATCCAAACCAATTGTCTAATATCCTATATTTTTTAAGCTTCTCTAAAATCCGCCAATATGCAACTGTTTTCATAAATTCTAGGGCAGCGAAAAAATTCTGATGATCAAACCGATAAATTGTCAAGTGTAAATTAATAAATACCTTTTCATTAAAATCAACCTGACAAAACCCGACCAAAACATAGGGTTTCATCAGGTTTCGTCATTTCGTCAGGCATCACTAGGACCCGGATAATGTGCACCAAATTTATGACGCAGACAAAATTCTTAAAACTCGTTAAGGTTAGGTTTGTATAGGAAATTGACCAATAAAAACTTTCTGTTAGAGCACAAAAGGTAGCTTCTTATGCCGATTTTTGGCAGAACGAACGTTGTTTTGAATCTTCCTGATCGTGCTACGTTACATTTAATCTTGGAATCTGATTTGTAATTCAGGAGATTTGCGCCAAAAACCTAGTACACATTAACCAGGTCTAGATAGCGATGGGACTATAGTTGGTGGTAGAATTATTGAATTACGGCATTACGGCATTTTACCAGATGGTAAAATTAATTACGACACAATACCTGTAATGGCATAGTATCGAAGCAATTATTGAATGTGTGCCAGGTTTACGATGCAGCAAAAATTCTTTAATCAACCATATCTGCTGTCCCTGCAGATTCCCGATTTGATTGGCTAACGGCTGTAGATAAATAGTATTAAATCACAATCAAAAAATTTTCTCTGGCCAATCAGAGTTCAAGATCTTGTGTAACGCAAAAAAGGCAAAAAAATATCAAAACAGTAAAAAAAAACACTTGTAACTCAAAATTTTGCCTATGAAAGTGCCTTCTGCGTACTAACAAAAAATTTCCTCGTGAAGTTTTACTATAACTATGATCTTTTAAAACAAGCATTAATCTACTGGTGGGACTCTATCCCTAAACTAATTACGAAGCAATTTTTTTAATAAGATCACATTGTTGGCGAAATTTTTTAGGGTAGAGATACTAGATTTATATGTACGTTATTACGCGAAATACGGTATTAATATGATTCTACAAATTTTTTTATTATTATTATCATACTTTTTTATAATCGCCAGTTTTGTATAAAAAAAACCAGGCGATTATGTAGAATAATTACTATATATAATTAAATTATTTATCACTAGAAAATCTTTTACAAATTACAATATTGATTAAGTTAAAAAGTTATTACAAGATGATATCAATTTCTAAAATAATGTACACAGTTATTAAATAGATTTTTTTTAAAAAGAAAAAAAAAATGAAAAGAGAAAGATAGAAAGAGAAACTTTCAAATAATCGATAATATCGACTTCATTAAGTCCTTTTGGTCCAATTCTACCATATCTCAAATCGCTCATGTCCTCATATATCCTTTTGATTTTAGAAAAATTATTATCAGACCAAATATTCCCATAAACATTCATTGAGGATAATAAAATACCTTTAAATATCCGAAAAAATTCATTACTTCCATCTCCATAATATCAAAACCATCTGTTATTTGTTTTTCTGCAATTGATAATATTTTAATTGTTTGATTTAATGTCAACCGATCATTCGACTGATTAATAAAAATATCCTAAGTTAAAAAAAAAAATTTCAATTATCAATTCATTTCATTGGTTGACATACCTCATCTAATGTTTCATCTAATGTTTCATCTAATGTTTCATCTTGATTCATATCAATATCCATCATATCCTTGTCTTGACAAGTACAAACTTTCCAAAAGTCAATTTTTTTACATTCTTCAATCGTATTTTGATGAACTAATTCCCTCGTTCCACTTCTCTCGTCTGATACTCTTTATACAATGTTTTAATATGTTTATTGTTTTTAATAAGGTTATTGATATTATTATAGTTTTCTTATGACGCGTCCTGACAAAAAAAGTAATATTCATCTATAAGAATTAGGAAACAGATCGATTCCGAGACGATTCCGATCTACATACTTCGTAAAAACAGTGTACTTTTTTAGAAAGTTCACTTTAGTTATCCTACCTTGAAATGTGGAGTTTTTGCGCCGTATTTTAATAATATAAGTTGAATACTGTGACGGGTTTTATGATCGAGTTCAGAGATGGGGCAAATGCGACGGATTGTCGCTTGAAAAACGATTATGCCGCGTAACGTTCCTCAAAGATAATAGAGGTCGGTTTTTACGATTTGGCACAAGGTCAAGGCGATCTTTTAAGGAGCGTTACCAGATAAGTATATGAATTTAAGAACGTTAATATATTTTATAGGTTAAAAGGGCTTTATTAACTTCTTTATTATTTGTAGGGGTAATACAACTATAGGACTGTATTATTATACTATTCTGGGCGGTTCTGAACTACTTTTTGGGAGGAGGAAATTCCACCCTTTTTATAATGAATTGACCGCGAGAAGAGCACGCACAAGACCACGACTCTTCTCATTGCTCCCATCGTTTCCCAACCTTATTTGTTCTAACCCTTCCACATAGCCTTTCGTTACTTTTACATTTCCCACGGTCTTCTTAGAACCGATGAGAAATGTTTCAGTTTCACTATCCCGGGACCAGAACCCATCATATTGTCTACATTCGCACCCCCCCTTGACATCGTCTCACACCTAACCCAAGTAGGGTAGGTGGAGTCAACGTCCATTCCCAGCACGTCCAGGTCGACCTTTCTTTAATTGGAGGGGGTGGTGGGGTCCCGCATGGAGGCTTGTGTACTGTCATATGGCTTTCGTGGGGCCGGGCGCACATGTTTCAAATGGATCGTCATGGGCACCACCAATTAGGTAAGTATGCCACAATAATGTCCATTTCGCAGGTTCTATGGGGTGTCGGTTTTACCTCTGACAATACATTTGAATCCCGCAGCTTTTATATGACGATTTACACTGCAAAGTTGTATAAGTAAGTAGGTCATTTATGAAACATCGAACTACAATTTTTGATGTTGAGCAAAAAAGAGCTAAAAGCAACAATCTAGCAAAGGTAATGTGGGCTTGAGCATTGGTTATTCGGTTTTTTTTGTTACGTGCTTATAAGAAAAATATTTAAAAGCTTAAGAAAAATATTTAAAAACTAAAGACAAATATATAATGATATAAACTAACTGTACAATTTTTAATATTGAAGAATAATGTGGGCAAACATAAAGAATGTCCAAGTTGAGATGTATATAAAACTTTAAAACATATATTAAAATGACAGTCGTAGTTAGGGAAATTGTGCAAGATATTCGGGTTTTAGATTATACGAAAATTTCTATAGATAATCATCCAGTAATAATATTAGAAGTTAGTTAACCGTTGATATAGTAACAAATAAACAGAATAAAGTTATGTTACTCACTTCAGCAGAAAAATTTAATGCATCATTTTTCGTATTTTTTATTCTTTTAAGGCTTACTATTTGATTGGCTAAATAACATGTGACAATGCATAAACATCTAATTGGTGTCGATCTTTTTTGTTTTGATGAAATCTATTGGTGCTAATCATATGTATAATGTAATTGCATCAAAATCAATAATCAAAACAATACAAAAAGATATACTTTTGTTTTTTTGCTTGATGTAATAACAAACTTTTATTAGTAATATATTATCGTAGTTGGTTTTTATTTTATTTCAAGAAACACTATGTCAGTTCGTCAGTATATAAAAGGTAATGTATCATAGATGTCTAGGTTGTTTTTACTATTGTTATGAGTAAATCCGACTCTAGGACCATGAGGAATAAACATGTAATGACACCCGAAAACTGTCGTACCACGCTGCCCGCGACCCAGGACAACAAGTACTTCATTAAGTGACAGTGCCGATCCATTGAAGAAAAAGCCACCCTCCCGATTTGGAATACAACTGTCAAGATAATATTACCTTAACAGGTAAAGTCTGTGGCTGTGTCAATGTGTCGTCATATGTTGAGTTGTGTGTCATTATAGAATATTGAAGTTCAATGGAAAAATTCTAAAGTAATGACGGATGAATTGTAGGAAAAAGGGAAAAGTACTAGCAAATAAGGGTAAAACGGATGGTGACAATGAGAAAAAGGGTGTTCAAAACTCTCTTCTTTTCCCTTGTACATTCATTATAAAAATGGTTCGAATTCCCCCTCTTGTAAAGAGGATCATATCAGATAGGATCACCTTGTATCATAATAAGAAACCCGAATCACTATAAAACCGCCCTAATAATTAATTAAAATGTTTAATTAATAAAGTTCTAAAATGTTAAAAATAAAATAATTAAATAAATAAAACCTCACACTCCTTTGAACCCGTATAACATTAAAACCACATCCTTTGTGACGTTCTCAAGGCCGCCTTTGACCTGTGCCAAATCGAAACCGCCTCACCTTCCTTGAAGCGACAATCCGTCACATTAGTTCCTTTTCATGGTGGTGCCATCCCGACTGTATAGCCAGTAACACTATTAAATACTGCAACACGTCTGTGGAACAAGTGGAAGGAAAAGCTTGCTTTCCTGGAGGGTTTATTAGTGAAAATTACATCTGGTTTATGGTACAATAACTGAATAGTTGTGTGCATCTATTCACGACTTTTTAACTGTAGATTGAAGACAATAGAATCACTTCAGGCCACAACTCGCGACAGTTACTAGTTAGGGAATGAGACCTACAGTGAACAGCTTGTTTTGAACATTTATATCTTCTTTCAATAGTTTTAAGGGTTACTATTGCGGTTAGTAGTTTGGTTTCATGTTCGTAGGACTGACTAATTAAGGTAATTACTCCTTAAGGGGGTCAGATGGTCGGAAATCGGGTATTAATCACTGTAGGTAGTGTACGGTGCATAAAATCAAGCAACTGGAAGCTCTTCACGGCCACAGTTACTGTGAACGTCCTTGTTTGTTATTCAATTATTATGCAATTTTATTCATTTTTTTTTTATACCGGTACATAAATCATACTACGCAAGACAAGACCGAAGAATTCAAATTAAGTTTAGTCAGGATTATAATTTTTACATAAAAATTTTTTTTAAAAAAAAGATTGTAGTTGTATCTGTTAATATTGATTGATTTTTTTTAATAAAATAGTATTTTAATAAATTTAAATAGTTCAATAAAAGGTATAAAAAGTGAAAAAAAATAATTCGTCAAATATTTATAAATGTTTGAAAATAAATGAAAAGTCTCAATTAATAATCGAAATTATCGTTTATTACTTTAGCAATTATCGTAGAATCATGAAAAATTCCAATTTACTGATTATTAATCATCTTATAAAGGCAATCGGTTTTGTATAAGAAATTGTTTTTAGATTATTGAATCAAATTTCATTTGAAATGATTAATATAGAGCTCTTTGTAAGCGAGAAATATCTAAGAACATTAAAGGGAAGAAACAAATCACTTTCTACTAAAGAATAGCTTTAATTGTAAAAAATCCACGAAACTCAAATGTAATTCTGATTCGTTCAATTGGATATTGTTAAAACTGGACAAATTGTTCCAATTAATAATAAACTTTATTTTTAAATAACGTTTCAGTTATATATTCATTTGACAATGTACTGAACAAATGGCATAGCGAAAGTATCAGAGGTTCGAATGCCAGATTATTACATTCTAAGGTCCCATCTTGCACTTCATTGTTGGGACGTTCCTGAGGATATCCGACGATATTGACTTAATAACTTGCATAAGAAAAATAACGCTTATAGACGTTGTGCTAAATTAATGTTACGACATATATTAAGCATGCAAAATGCTACGGCATATATAAGTTAAACTTTTTAACGTATCGTTCATATCTCAAGTTACAGCTATCGGGACATAAAAAGGTTATCAAATCATATCTCTAGATATAAAAATTTCTTTATACAGAAAAAACTCTAAATAAATTTAAATTAATCAGCTTTTGGAACTTCAGTTGCTATTACATATTAGAAGTCTTGGACGCTTTTTGTTTTTTTTTCAGCAGTTTTTTTTGTCGTTTTTAGATTCACCAGCTATTCTGAGGTTTAGATTTAATGTTGTACGTATTCGGATGACGCCTGTTAAATCTTCCACAAAAGAAAATTCCCTCTAACGTGACTTAATTCTAACCCTAAAGATTTCATAACTCAACATTTTATCCTAATCTAGCAGCAAAATTTTTTTGGTGAAATCTTTTAGGTTGGTAACGCTAAAACAACAACCCTCACGTGAAATGATGAAACAACCAATCATATTTGGATATCAGGTGCAAAAAAAAAACGAAAACAATCCAAAAACAATTTATAACTCAAATTTTGGCTATGAAACTGCCTTCTGTGTACTAATAAAAAGTTTTCCTCGCGAAAATTTGGTATAATTACAATCCTCTAACCCAACTTACTAGTAAGACCCTAACCCTAAAGTAACCGCAAAACCTTTTTTTTTAGTGAAAAAAAATTTATTGCTTTTAAATATGATCACATGATGTGCGAAATTTTTTTAGACTAGTAGTCTTATAACTGTAAATCTGCAAAATTTTGGCTCGTATTACATAATCGTATACTAATTTCTGGCCGGAATTAACTTTTAACTTTTCATTCCAAAAATTTTGTTGCGGCAACTAGGGTTAGTATGTAAGAGAGATCTGCGTCACAATGATCGACACAGAATTTCATGCCCGTTTATGTTAGGGTTGGGAATCAGAGGGGATTTCTTATGCTGATTTTTTGATTTTTGACAAAACGGGCGTTTGCTTTGAATTTGCTTGATCACTTTAC